AAAAAAAAAAAAAAAATTAGCTGGGCATGGCAGCGGGTTCCTGTAATCCCACCTACTCAGGAGGCTGGGGCAGGAGAATCACTTGAACCTGGGAGGCGGAGGTGGTAGTGATCCGAGATCATGCCATTGCACTCCAGCCTGGAAAAAAAAAAAAAAAGATACTATTAAAAAAAACTACTTATTGAATACATTCTAAACAATTTCTCTCTCTCTTTTTTTTTTTTTTGAGACGGAGTTTCATTCTTGTCACCTAGGCTGGAGTGCAGTGGTGTGATCTCGGCTCACTGTGACCTATGCCTCCCGGGTTCAAGCGATTCTCCTGCCCCAGCTTTCCAAGTATCTGAGATTATAAGCATGTGCCACCACACCCAGCTAATTTTTGTATTTTTAGTAGAGATGGGGTTTCACCATGTTGGCTAGGCTGGTCCTGAACTCCTGACCTCAGGTGATCTGCCTGCCTCGGCCTCCCAAAGTGCTGGGAGTACAGGCGTGAGCCACTGCACCTGGCCTAAATAATTCATTATACAGTTAATTCGTACACAACTGAGAAGATAATATACAATATTCTAAAACCAAATGCATATTAGTTTTAGTTTATCCATAATTTTGGATAGCCATTATTATGATTTACTCTTTTTTTTTGAGACGGAGTCTCACTCTGTCACCCAGGCTGGAGTGCAGTGGCGCAATCTGAGCTCACTGAGACCTCTGCCTCTTGAGTTCAAGCAATTTTCTGCCTCAGTCTCCTGAGTAGCTGGGATTACAGGTGCCCACCACCACACCTGGCTAATTTTTGTATTTTTAGTAGAGACAAGGTTTCACCATTATGGCCAGGCTGGTCTCAAACTCCTGACTGCAAGTAATTTGCCCGCCTCGGCCTCCCAAAGTGCTGGGATTACAGGTATGAGTCACTGCGCCTGGCCAACTATTATTTTCATTAGTTCGGATAAGAGAGCTTTGATATGGAAACATAGTAGATATAATATTTGAGTATAAATATACATTTTATTTATTTATTTATTTATTTTGTTTGTTTTTTTAGACAGAGACCCACTCTGTCGCTCAGGCTGGAGTGCAGTGGTGTGATCTCAGCTCACTGTTACCTCTGCCTCCTGGGTTCACGCAATTCTCCTGCCTCAGTCTCGCAAGTAGCTGGGATTACGGGCATGCACCACCGTGCCCGGCTAATTTTTGTGTTTTTAGTAGAGATGGGGTTTTACCATGTTGGCCAGGCTGGTCTTGAACTCCAGACCTCGTGATCTGCCCGCCTCAGCCTTCCAAAGTGCTGGAATTACAGGCGTGAGCCACCGCTCCCAGCCACAATTTATTTTTGGATATCTCAGAATGTGGATTTTTAAAGTTAAAATTTTATTTGTGTGTGTGTGTGTGTGTTTTTTTGTTTTTTTGTTTTTTTGTTTTTTTCCTTTTTTTAAGATATAGTCTCTGTAACCCAGGCTGGAGTGCAATGGCGTGATCTCAGCTCACTGCAACCTCCGCCTCCCGGGTTCAAGAGATTCTCCTGCCTCAGCCTCCTGAGTAGTTGGGATTACAGGCAGCCGCCACCATGCCTGGCTAATTTTTGTATTTTTAGTAGAGATGGGGTTTCACCATGTCGGCCAGGCTGGTTTCGAATTCCTGACCTCAAGTGATCCGCCTGCCTTGGCCTCCCAAATTGCTGGTTTACAGGCATGAGCCACCGTGCCTGGACTTGTTGTTTTTTAAAGACCGGGTCTTGCTCTGTTACCCAGGCTGGAGCGAAGCCGCGCAATTATAGCTCTCTGCGACTTCCAACTGTGGGCTCAAGTGATCCTCCAGCCTTAGCCTCTGAGTATTGAGGCATACCACCATGTCTCGCTAATTTTTTTTTTTCTTCTTCGAGACAGTCTCACTTTGTTGCCCAGACTGGAGTGCAATGGCGTGATCTCGGGGCACTGCAACCTCGGCCTCCTGGGTTCAAGGGATTCTCCTGCCTTAACCTCCCAAATAGCTGAGACTACAGGTGCCTGCCACCCTGCCTCGCTAATTTTTTTTGTATATTTAATAGAGACGGGATTTTACCATGTTGGCCAGGCTGGTATCGAGCTCCTGACCCCAGGAGATCTGCCCGCCCCAACCTGCCAAAGTGCCGGGATTACAGGCATGAACCACTGCGCCTGGCCGATTTTTAACATTTTTTTTATAGAGATGAGGTCTCACTGTTTTCCAGGCTGGTCTCAAACTCCTAGTCTCAAGTAACTTTTCCACCTCGACCTCCCAAAGTGCTGGGATTACAGGTGTGAGCTACTGTGCCTGGCTTATTTTTCACCTTTTTATAAGAGGAGCCACCCATTTTATCAAGTCATTACTAGATGTACAATATTGTAGAGAAGTCTATATAGTTGATTTAGAAGCATGCCAAGCTCGAGGGGCTGGCCTGGACTCTGATCTATGCTAAAGCCCATGTATGCACTTTATTCTACTTTCATCTATACTTTTTCCCAGTGGCACATGGTAGGGTCAAAATACATATTTGCTGAATGTATAAATGAATGACTAATTTTATGGGTAAAAGTTGGTTGTTTCAATGAAAAAATGATCCAGAAGAAGAGGAGGTTACTTCAAACAGAACCTGGCAATCGGATAAATACCTTCAAGTGTCTGTCTCCATAAAAATCTTCCAGAAGAAGAGGAGGTTACTTCAAACAGGACCTGGCAGTTGGATAAATACCTTCAAGTGTCTGTCTCCATAATCACATTTTAGCAAGATTCCCAGTGTTCCTCAGGTATTAGATGCTGATTTACACAATAAAACTTACTAAAGTAGTGTAATCATACTCACTTATTAAGTTACAGGGAATGGGGACCAGGCATCTGCATGTCCATGCTGTAGGCAGATTTACTCATGGAGACTAAATTAGAGATTAGAGGGTTTGCTGGCTGAACAACTAATGATTTCTATCTGGAAAGAAATGGTACGCAATTTCTTCCTGACCTTTTGAAAAATTTTTAGGTATTGCTGGATGCTGTGCCAAAACAACAGTTGCTCCATTGGATCGAGTAAAGGTTTTATTACAAGCTCACAATCGCCATTACAAGCATTTTGGTGAGTTAATAGATGCTAAAGATAAAAATGAATGAAAATACTGTGGAAAGTGGGCAAAAAAGGGAATTTAAGTTTGGGGATGCAAAAAGTAAAGTAGAGGTTCTTCTTTAAAGACTTTTCCCCCATTTAATTAGGAATAAATACTAACTTCTTTTAAAAAGCAAAATTTATTCAAAGACTTGTGCTAACATTCTTAAATATCTGCTAGCCATGATAAAAAAAAATCAAAGTACTTTATTTTCTTAGCTCCCACAATTTAGTGTAAATATTTGCCCTGGCATGCTTATTCTGCTCCAAGCAAGCATTAGGTCATAGCCTGTTCCTCTTCCTTATTTGAAGGTGTTTTGCAAGCATTAGTCACAGCCTGTTCCTCTTCCTTATTTAAAGGTGTTTTTTGACCTTTCACAGGATTCCACACGTTAATTTCTCCTTCCTTTGTTCTCCTTTGCCTCTTTTAAAAAGTTCTAAATTGCTAGCCAATCGGGACAAATATAGGATGTGAGGTCCCATTCCAGCCAATGGAAACAGGATACAACAGTAGGGTGGACAAGTCAGGTTATAAATGACCCTGTTTCTCCTTTGTTCGGTGTACTCTCATGGCAAAACTGCTGGCGAGGGTACCCTTTCTGCGAAAAATAAAAATGACCTTGCTAGGTACTTTAAATATATGTTCAAGTACTGTTTCTTTATGGCACCAGGAAACAAGCATTTCAAACGGGCAAATTTGCTCTTTGTTTTTTCTCTGTAGATTCAGGAACTTGAAAGGGGGCAATTAAAAAAAAAAGGAAAGGGGGCAAATTTTCCAAAGAATATTTTTCTTATCCATTATAATCCTTTCATTTGCAGTAGTGGTTATATATATTATCATTTTAGGATGCTGATATTTTCCTAGCCCAAATCTTGGAATAATTGAAGTAAATGTTACGTGTTTATTGGGATTAATTAGTCACATTGTTCGCAGGCACACATAACAACTCAGTCTGATTTTTTTATTATTTATTTATTTATTTATTTTTTGAGACGGAGTTTTGCTCTTGTTGCCCAGGCTGGAGTGCAATGGCGTGACCTCGGCTCACTGCAACCTCTGCCTCCCAGGTTCAAGTGATTCTCCTGCCTCAGTCTCCTTACTAGCTGGGATTACAGGCATGTGCCACCATGCCCGGCTCATTTTGTATTTTTAGTAGAGACAGGGTTTCTTCATGTTGGTCAGGCTGGTCTCTAACTCCTGACCTCAGGTGATCTACCTGCCGTGGCCTCCCAAAGTACTGGGATTACAGGCGTGACCCACTGCGCCTGGCTTCAGTCCGATTTTTTAAATGCAATAAGAGATAGGAGATGAGATTTAAAAATGTAAAACTGAAATAATTACTTCTTTTTAACACTTAATTTAAAAAAGCATTCTAGAAATCTTTGTGCAAGAAGAATCCAGTGCTTGCTTTTTTTTTTTTTCTCCTCTTCTTGTTTTTTTGGAGACGGAGTTTCGCTCTTGTGGCCCAGGCTAGAGTGCAATGGCACCATCTTGGCTCACCACAACCTCCACCTCCTGGGTTGCAGTGCTTCTCCTGCCTCAGCCTCCCAAGTAGGTGGAATTTACAGGCGTGCACCACCACGCCCAGCTAATTTTTGTATTTTTAGTAGAGACAGGGTTTCCCTATGTTGGTCAGACTGATCTCGAACTCCCAACCTCAGGTGATCTGCCCGCCTCAGCCTCCCAAAGTGCTGGGATTACAGGTGTGAGCCACTGTGCCCGGCCGCTTGCTTTGTTAAAAATAAAAAAATGAAGACTTTAGGCCGGGCTCAGTGGCTCATGCCTGTAATCCCAGCACTTTGGGAGGCTGAGGCAGGAGGATCACTTGAGGTCAGGAGTTCGAGATCAGCTTGGCCAACATGGTGAAACCCTGTCTATACTTAAAATACGGAAATTAGCCGGGCATGGTGGCAGGCACCTGTAATCCTAGTTAATCGGAAGACTGAGGCAGGAGAATTGCTTGAATTCGGGAGGTGGAGGTTGCAGTGAGCCGAGATTGAGCCATTGCATTCCAGCCTGGGGGACAAGAGCGAGACTTCATCTGAAAAAAAAAAAAAACAGGCTGGGCGCGGTGGCTCAAGCCTGTAATCCCAGCACTTTGGGAGGCCGAGACGGGCGGATCACAAGGTCAGGAGATCGAGACCATCCTGGCTAACACGGTGAAACCCCGTCTCTACTAAAAAAAAAATACAAAAAACTAGCCAGGCGAGGTGGCGGGCGCCTGTAGTCCCAGCTACTCGGGAGGCTGAGGCAGGAGAATGGCGTGAACCCGGGAGGCGGAGCTTGCAGTAAGCTGAGATCCGGCCACTGCACTCCAGCCTGGGCGGCAGAGCAAGACTCGGTCTCAAAAAAAAAAAACAAGACCTTAGTTGTTCCTTTAAAACCAGCCATTCAATTAACATGGACACTTTAATAACTTGTCATTGGTGAGAATAAGAATTGTTTTGTCTTTTGGAGGGCATTTTGGCAATATGCGTAAAAGTCTCAAAAAGTACCTATTCTTTGACCTTGCGGTTCCAGTTTTAGGAGATTATTCTAAGGAAGTAAACAGAAATGTGGTCAATAATCATATGCAAGGATCAAAACATTAATTATTATTATTATTATTTTGAGATGGAGTTTCAGTCTGTTGCCCAGGCTGGAGTGCAGTGGTGTGATCTCTGCTCACTGCAACCCCTGCCTCCTGGGTTCAAGCGATTCTCCTGCCTCAGCCTCCTGAGTGGCTGGGACTACAGGTGTGCGCCACCATGCCCGGCTAACTTTTGTATTTTTTAGTAGGTACGGGGTTTCACCATATTGGCCAGGCTGATCCGGAACTCGTGACCTCATGATCTGCCCATCTCAGCCTCTCAAAGTGCTGGGATTACAGGTGTAAGCCACCACACCCAGCTTATTATTATTACTATTTTTTTGAGACAAAGTCTTGCTCTGTTGCCCAGAGGCTGGAGTACTGTGGCATGATCTTGGCTCACTGAAACCTCCTCCTGCAGGGTTCAAGCCATTCTCATGCCTCAGCCTCACGAGTAGCTGGGATTACAGGTACCCGCCACCATGACTGGCTAATTTTTGTATTTTCAGTAGAGACAGGGTTTCGCCATGTTGGCTGGCCTCGAACCCCTAATCTCAAATAATCTGCCTGTCTTGGCCTCCCAAAGTATTGAAATTATAGGCATATGCCACTGCTCCCGGCCAAAACATTATTTGTGTTAGTTTTTTTCTTTCTTTCTGAGATAGAGTCTTGTTCTGTTGCCCAGGCTGGCTCAGTCTCAGCTTACTGCAACCTCTGCCTCCTGGGTTCAAGCTATTCTCCTGCCTCAGCCTCCTGAGTAGCTGGGATTACAGGCGTGTGCCACCATGTCTGGTTAATTTTTGTATTTTTACTAGAGATGTGATTTCACTGTGTTTACCAGGCTGGTCTCGAATTCCCAACCTCAGGTGATCTGCCCGCCTTGTCCTCCCTAAGTACTGGGATTAAAGGCATGAGTCACCACGCGTGGCCACTGTGCTTGATTTTTATAATATCGTTTTATAGAAAGATGTTTAACAGGGTGAATAACAATCAGTTATTTTTCCAACTGCATTTTAAAAGTGTCATTCTTACAATCCTGAATGGATATTTATGTAGTATATTCATTGTAACTCATTTTCTTGTCAATATTTTTTCTTTTCTTTTTTTCTCTCTCTCTTCCTTTTTTTCTTTTTTTGAGATGGTCTTGCTCTATTGCCCAGGCTGGAGTGCAGTGGCACGGTCTCAGCTCATGGTATCGTCTGCCTCCTGGGTTCAAGCAATTCTCCTGTGTCAGCCTCCTATATATCTGGGATTACAGGCATGCACCACTGCGCCCAGCTAATTTTTGTATTTTTGGTAAAGGCAGGGTTTCATTATGTTTGACCAGGCTGGTTTCTTATTTTTTATTTAAAAAAAAAAAATAGAGAGTAGGTCTCACTTGTTCCCCAGGCTGGTCTTCAACTCATGACTTCAAGTGATCCTCCTGCCTTGGCCTCCCAAAGTGCTAGGATTACTGCGTGGGACCTTACTGCCCAGCCAAAAAAATTTTTTTTTGAGACGGAGTCTCACTCTTGTTGCCTAGGCTGGAGTGCAATGGCGTGATCTCAGCTCGCTGCAAACTCCGCCTCCCAGGTTCAAGCGATTCTCCTGCCTCAGCCTCCCGAATAGCTGGGATTATAGGCACCTGCCACCATGCCCAGCTAATTTTTTGTATAGTTAGTAGAGATGGGGCTTCACTATGTTGGTCAGGCTGGTCTTGAACTCCTGATCTCAGTCGATCCACCTGCCTCGGCCTCCCAAAGTGCTGGGATTACAGGCATGAGTCACCACTTCCAGCCCCAGCTGACATTTTTAATACTGAGGAAGTCTGTACTTTGAAATAGGAAAATTGCAACTATCTTCATATCCAGGAGTGAATTATCATTTATCTTTAATTCAGTTTTTATTAGACTTATTTATGTATTTATATATGTATGTATGTATTTATTTGCGACAGGATGTCTTAAATTTTTTGTAGAGACAAGGTCTCTCTATATTGCCAAGGCTGGTCTCAAACTTCTGGGTTTAAGCTGTTTGACCCACCTGCCTTGGCCTCCCAAAGTGCTTTGATTACTGGCATGAGCCACTGTGCCCTGCCTCTGCAATGAATTCTTCCTCACACAGTTTATTGCTCATGTATACAAAGAATCAAAATTAAATATGTGTAAGCCTAGCCAATACAGTGAAACCCCATCTCTACTAAAAATACAAAAATTGTCCAGGCATGGTGGCGCAGACCTGTAATCCCAGCTACTGAGGAGGCTGAGGCAGGAGAATTGCTTGAACCCAGGAGGTAGAGGTTGCAGTGAGCCAAGATTGTGCCACTGTACTCCAGCCTGGGCGATAGAGTGAGACCCCATCTTAAAAAAAAAAAAAAAAAAAAATTAAATGTGTGTGGTTGCATGTGCCTGTAGTCCCAGTACTCTTGGGAGGCTGAGGTGGGAGGCTTGCTTGATCCCGAGCATTTGAGGCTGCAGTGAGCTGTGATTGTGCCACTGCACTCCAGCCTGGGCAACAGAGTGAGACTCTGTCTCCAAAAAAGAAAGAAAGAATTAGACCTGTGAACTTGTTGAGAGATCATAAAAAACTGGAAAGGAAGGAAATTATTTTCTTTTGTTGTCTAGATTGAGGATAAAATGGAGAAGAATGATATTACCCAGTGTCTTGGGGTGTTTTACAATGACCCTGCGTATCAGTGTCTGAACAGGATTCTTTTATTCCTTTAACCTCCTCCCTGTGCTGATGTGTGTTGTTTTGTTTCCTGATTTGCAGTCATTAGGTTACATATTCATATTAGATTTCACGCTCTATAGGGCTACATGCTGTGGGTTACAGTGTACCCTGGTTACAGTATACCCTACAAGGCGTATAAAATTTGGAGTGAATTCCTGGAGTGCAACAGTGAACTATTATAGTAGTCTTTGGAATGTCCTCTATTTTTAATATATACAAGCCCCCTCAAAAAAATAAATCTGTTTTGGTGGCTTTTAATTTAATTTATTTTTTCTTTTTTGAAACAGAGTTTCACTCTTGTTGCCCAGGCTGGAGTTCAATGACATAATCTTGGCTCACTGCAACCTCTGCCTCCCAGGTTCAAGGCCAGATTCTCCTGCCTCAGTCTCCCAAGTAGCTCAAATTACAAGTGCCTGCCACCAAGCCCTAGTATGTTTTGTACAGATGGGGTTTCACTATGTTGACCAGGCTGGTCTCAACTTCCTGACCTCATGATCTGCCGGCTTCGGTCTCCCAAAGTGCTGGGATTACAGGAGTGACCCACTGCACCCAACCTTTTTTTTTTTTTTTTTTTTTTTAATGCTTTTAAGCATTTTATTCCAGGTACCTCTCCACTTTTTGTAGGTATAAGATAGTTTTTTAAAATTTTGCTTTTTTCGAAAATTTTTTTCATGTGTTTGTTTATTTTGAGACGGAGTCTTGCTCTGTTGCCTAGGCTGGAGTGCAGTGGCATGATACCGGCTCACTGCAACCTCTGCCTCCCGGATTCAAGCAATTCTCCTGCCTCAGCCTCTCGAGTAGCTAGGACTACAGGCACATGCCACCACGCCTGGCTGATCTTTTGTGTTTTTAGTAGAGATGGAGTTTCACCGTGTTAGCCAGGATGGTCTCGATCTCCTGACCTGGTGATCTGCCCACTTCGGCCTCCCAAAGTATTGGAATTACAGGCGTGAGCCATTGCGCCCTGTCCATTTTTTTATTTTTTGAGATGTAGTTTCACTCTTGTCACCCAGGCTGGAGTGCAACGGTGTGATCTTGGCTCACTGTAACCTTGGCCTTCCAGGTTCAAGCAATTCTCCTGCCTCAGCCTCCCGAGTAGCTGGGAGTATAGGTGCTCACCACCACACCTGGCTAATTTTTTTTTGTATTTTTAGTAGAGACAGGGTTTCATCATGTTAGCCAGACTGGTCTCGAACTCCTGACCTCAGATGATCCACCCACTTTGGCCTCCCAAAGTCCTGGGATTACAGGCGTGAGCAGCCCCAGCTGCACCCAGCCCCTAAAATTTTGCTTTTTTAAACATGATTTTTCACAGATGATAAAGATATGTTATTGGACAAAACTATTACTTCTACTCCAACTTCTTATAAAAAGTGTGACATTACTTCCAAGGCATCAAAGACGTGTTTTTATTTTATATGTCTTTTATTTATGTATTTTTTATTTTTTGAGATGGAGTCTTGCTCTGTTACCCAGGCTAGAGAGCAGTAGCGCGATCTTGGCTCACTGCAACCTCTGCCTCCTGGTTTCAACCTTAGCCTCCCAGGTAGCTGGGATTACAGGTGCGTGCCACCATGCTGGGCTAATTTTTGTATTTTTAGTAGTGACGAGGTTTCATCATGTTGGTCAGGCTGGTCTCATGGTGGCGCTTGCCTTTAGTCCCAGCAATTCAGGAGGCTGAGGCAGGAAGATTGCTTGGGTCCAGGAGGTAGAGGCTGCTGTGAGCTGTGATCACACCACTGCACTCCAGCCTGGGTGACAGAATAAGACCATGTCTAAAAAAAAAAAAAAAAAA